GAGATAAAGACCTTAGCTGCGTGGTATAATCGTGCTTGGACCCTAGCCATGAGTTGATATATGCCATGATCTCGCCATGGCACTAAACATTGACGATTTGATACAGGAATCTACCTGCCGGATACATCCAAGTTCTGATCTCTGAATCTACTCTAGCAAAACGGATATGACCTAACCTAGACATATACCTACTATATAACAGACCGTCTTCTACGGATGATATACCACGGCGTATACCTTTTGTAGCGGGGAAAGGCCGGGTAGACTAGGTGCTGAAATAGGTATGTTTGTTCTTTTATTATAGGCTTAAACACACTTTACTCCTCTAGGTTAGGTTAATCCTATCAATCCACATCCAACATGGACTAGGAACGAGGGGCATTCTCAGACCCCATTTTAGAGGGGTTCGCACACCATACATGCACTACTGTACTCGTAGTGTCGTACTCCCACCATACAGACACGGATTATTACGCCTATGACCTGTCATGAACGGAACGGGCTTGTTTAGCAATCTGGGGATGGGGAGTGGGTGAAGTTTTGCGATTTGCATTCCCCCCCATTGAATACCTAAACGGTCAATGGCCTTCCCGTCGGCCGCCCGAGTTGACCATTTTGTTTGCTCAGTTGTTTGTATATGTATACCGGGCGGCCGGAGTGTTGTATCCTGTTGCATCCTTACCTCGACTCAACCAAAGATCGGCCGTATCTACTATGGATCTGAAATCAGACTGACTTGCAGTGTCAAACCTGAAGGACCCTCCCACCTCATTCCCGGCACCCCCGATATCGCCACTCACACTTAGTCTCTTTGCTTCCCCATTCCTACCGTATTACCTTGCTTGACGAGTGTTCCCTTCATTCGTCACGATATCTCGACTCGACAGATAAGTCAAAAGTAACATTACGGCTTCTTCCCCCCCCCCCCCCCCCTAGCCCCTCTCGTAATAGCAGTCTTCCTAGGTTAGGTAGTCATGGGTTCTCTATCTGTGAATGAGCCGGTCCGACTTGCCCTCCTTGAAGCCGACACGCCAGTCGAAGGCATCAAGGCCAAGTACGGGACGTACGGCGGTGTCTTCACTCACCTGTTTCAACGTGCTTGCGACTCGTCTATCCCTCCGATCGATCTAGAATCCCAGCTTTCCCTCTCCTCCCATGACATCGTCAATGACCTGACAGCTTATCCGGATCCGGAGTCGATCGACGCCATTTTGATCACTGGATCCAAATTCAACGCCTTCGACAACGACGAGTGGATCGTTCGGCTTGTCCAGTACACAAAACGTTGCCTCGAAAGTGGCCGCGTCCGTGTTATTGGCGTTTGTTTCGGACATCAGATTATCGGCCGTGCCCTCGGTGCCGTGTTGGGACGGAATACACGAGGCTGGGAAATCAGCGTCGTCGAGCACGAGCTCACGCCCGAGGGGAAGAAAGTGTTTGGTATGGAGAAGTTGGTAAGCTCTGGTCCTAATTGATAATTACCCCTCGCTCGGAACCGGGAGGCGCGGAATAGCTTGTTCGGATTGCTTGTTCTTCGTAGCTGCTAACGAGAAGCTCGTGCAAATGAAATAGTCGATACATCAGATGCACCGCGATGCCGTGCTCACATTTCCTCCGGGCGTGATCCAACTGGCACGGACGGAAGTATGTGCCAATCAAGCCATGTACATGCCCAGACGGATGATTTCGGTCCAGGGACATCCTGAGTTCACAGAGGAAATGGTTCGCGAGATACTCGAGTTGCGCAAATACGGTGGCATCCTTGGCGACGATATATATAACGATGGGATTAGTCGCGTTGCTAAGAAACAAGACGGTGTTGCGGTAGCTCGGATATTTCTGCGGTTTTTGCAAGAATAGGTGCCGAGCCTTGGCCCTTGGAGCGACGAAAGAAAAGGGCAAGGAGAAAAAGAAGAAGTAGGGAGACGCAAAACGGGAAGCGACAGGTAAGCAAGTTTATATTATATATCCCGTGCTGACGGAGCTGCCCAATATGTACAAATCACTGCAGGGTGCCGGGGACTGTTATTATAGATTGGCTTGCTTGCTTGGTTGAGCGCCCCTACAGTATAGTACCTAGCTGGCCGAACCTAGATTGTGCTGTGTTCTGTGTTGCGCGCCCACTGTGTCTCGTTACAACGTCGATCTGAGTCAGACACACGGATGTAACATGGATGGTACTCGGTCAGATTTGGTTGGTCAATTGTCAAGCAATCCCTGCGTATAGTGGGTGTACTCGTACTTGTCCCTCTTGTCTTTGTGTCACCAGCCATCCTTTATATTATCACACTTTTTATGTTGACTACGGGATATGATTAACCATCTTTTATCTGAGCCTCGGGGTTTGAAGCGCTTTTATCCTCACTCATGATATTCCAAACCGGTTTCATCTTGTCTTTCTTACTTCCTACTCGACATTAAGGAATTGCCCATATCCATGCCCAGGAGAGATGGTCATTTACATGCACAGCACGATTATATTCTATGTGGAGGTAGGTATTTCAGCTCGAGGTGTATCAGGCGCGGCTCGAAGATGCCAGTGTTCAAGCATATATTACAGACGCTACTATATCACCTAGGTGTATAAACCCGCCCCTATAGCTCGTCTCTAACACGTTCCGGTTCTGTCGTTGCCACTGATGCCTTATTACACAGACGCTTATCAGGTTTCTCAACCTAGTAATCGCTACCCACGGCGCCCGGACGATAGAATATGTGGTCGGGATCGTACTTGTTCTTGATACTTTCCAATCTATCATAATTCTCACCGAAGAAATCCTTCTTCCAGTTGGGGTTCAAAGGAGTGGTCTGAGGACAGTCTGTCAGTGATCTTGGTCGGAAAGACGGTTCGATAAAAACGTACCTCGTCCACATAAGCGCCTACTTTAGTCGCTAGAGCACTTAATTTCTCGAAACTTTCATTATGCAGAGCCTTTAATGCGGCTTCCTTTTCTTCGCCGTTTTCCTCATCATCAAATGGTCTACAAAACAATCAGTATTTATTTAATTTTCTTCAACATCGAAAAACGGAAAAGGGGAGATGAGAGTATCAGTAAGCAACTTACGCGCTCACAGTGGTATAGAGCAAAGCATCCCTCCAAGCCTTCGAGACGGCATTATCGGAATTAATCCCCCTTTTCGGCGCGACATTAAAAGCCTGTTGTCGGACGATAAACCCAGCATTAACAAGTTCCCTGACGATATTAAAATACCCATTCCCCTTCCCCTCCTTAACCACGTCCCTCGACACCAACCAACCATCTCTGTCCTTTAACGCGAAAAGTTCGTGTTTCGCTTTATAAAACTCGTAATAATTCGCAAACGTCTCGACTTCCTTGCTAAACCTTTGTTGTTCTTGTTGCTGCGACGATACCTCGTCTAGAAAGGGAGCGAGAAGTTGGTCGATTTCCCCTTCTATCAACCCTGGCGCAGCAAGTCCTTCCAAAATGAACCCTGCCGGGGAAATTGAGAAGACTGGGACTGCGCCGGTGTCGACGATTTCGGGAAGGAGACGGTAGAATGAATCGAGAATTTTCCCCTCTTCTTCTTCTTCTGTTTCTTCTTCCGTTGTTGTTGTTGTTGTTGTTGTTTCCGAGGATGGAATAGAAACAGCAATAGAAACGGAAGCAAAAGAAACGGGGAGGTCGCGATACGCTCTAATCGTAGTCGTGACAATCACGCCGAATCCCCCAAGCCCATCCCCATCTTCCCCACTACCACCACCATTTCGTAAAGCCCAGAATAAATCCGAATTCTCCCCCCGATTCGCAGTGATTAATTCTCCTCTCGCCGTGACGATTTCGTATTCTAGGATGTTATCTTGTCGTAGACCAAATGCCGAACTCAAAGGTCCTGGTCCTGGTCCGGGGGTAGAATCCGAAACGACGACGACAAGTCCGGATTCGCTAGCGAATTTTATCATTTCGGAAGAAGAAGAAGATACACCCGGACTACTTGACTGGATTGCGTAGACGGGACGGTCTAGATCCATGTAACGGATCGCCGAGAGATGTCGCATTTTTTCCGACGTGTTTATAACAAGACCGGGACTCGAAATGGAGCCGATGGGGATGTTGTGTGATGAGGCGAAGGATAGGGTTTTGATTATTTGTTCTGGGCCTTCTGGTGTTATTGTATATCTGGGGCTGTGTGTTTTTTGTTAGTTAGTTAGTTACTTACTTACTTACTTTACTGTCAATGTTTTGAGTGAATGAGAGAGTGAGCGAGTGACTGAATAAACATACACATTTCGATCGTGGTCGACGACAAGGTTCCCGCTAACAGAAGCATTGAATGAGGACCATGTCTCTCTGCTTGGCCAGCAGGGTTGGTTGGGGAAGCAGAGACATTTTTCTTCTTCTTTTTCTTCTTGCGCGGATGCGGATACTCTTGCTAGTATTAGTAGAGCTGCGAAGACTGGATTAAGATACCTCATATTCTCGGCGCCTGCATTTTTGCGTCGAGATTGATTTGATGTGTGATAATGGTGAGTGATTGAGTGAGTGAGAGGCGTGAGAATATACGAGTAAGTACGAGTATGTAAATGTTGGAGATATTTACAAGGTTGTTGTTAGTTTAGGTGGATCTTGCACTAGATAGACTAAACTTAACCTAACTTGACCTAGTGATGTTGTAGTTTTCGGGTATTTTTAGCCGCAACACTAGACTTACCGGGGTAAACCGGGCCCGGGGGTATCGTGAGGATGGATGTAGACATTCCGTCCTTATTATATAACAACTACCTAGAAATGTTTAAATGGCTTAAAGTAAGGTCCGTCGAAGACACGTCTAATCTAGCCCCTATTCCAATCTCTTAGGGTTAAGGCTAAACGTTGATGTACTGCCTAGGTCCTAGGATGCCAGGGTAGATTTTAGTATAACAGGGCAAACAGAACAAAAAGACATCATTAGCATTGATACGTCAATATACACCCCTATTCAACACGCCCATCCCTCCTACAAAGGATGGTATGGTAGGAGGGCAAGAAAAAAGGAATAATTGGAAGTTCTAGGAATCGAACCTAGGACCTTCTCCTCGCGGAGCCCCGAGACAACCTACTGTAGACCCCAATGAAACATCAGTTACATCACATTGTTCTGCCTGTAACTGCATCCTCATTGGTAGTATGCAGCTGGTTAACCCGGGAACTAAACGGGAGATGCGCTTAAACCACTACGCCAAACTTCCGTTTTGTTGGTGCTGTTTCTGTCCGTTGTCGTTGGTTATATCCCTTTCGTGCCTTCCCCCTTTTCCAGGGACGGGGCGCTGCAGTAGTGATAGCAAACAGGCAGGGAAAATATTCAACTGGTATCACAAGGTAAGTTGATCAGTCCGTTTGTTTGTTTACATGCTATATACCAAGACAGGTGATAGAAACGAAGTAAGAAATAGCAAAAGAAAATGGAAGTTCTAGGATTCGAACCTAGGACCTTCTCCTCGCGAAGTGCCGGGAACGTATTTGTTACCCCCAATGAAAAGACAGCTACAGATCTTTGCCTGCAACTGTTTTTTATTGGTAGGCCATGGTTAGTCACCCGGGACTTAAATAGGAGATGCGCTTAAACCACTGCGCCAAACTTCCTTTCTATTTGTTGTTGCTTTTTCTGTGGTGTATTGTTGGTTATATTTCCCTCTCTTGTCTATCTCCCCTGTCCGATCTTAAATGACTAAGTAGGTTAGCTAGTTATACAACAAAGCATATTATATATAAGAAGACAAGCTTAAAAACTAGTGTAGCAAGGTACTTGTAAGTAGTGTCTTGCTTGCTAGTATAAGATATCTACTCCTCCTACCTTTCTTTATACTAGTAGTATATATATATATAGGACAAGCTCTGCTCACGAGGATATAGGGAAAAAAAGAAAGTCAAAAAAAAGAGGATTGGAAGTTCTAGGATTCGAACCTAGGACCTTCTCCTCGCGGAAGTACCGGACACCATTTACAGTTGTAGGCCTGCAGGTGTACCTACAACTTATCATGATCGATCGAAGTAAATGGTGACTCGGGACCTAAACGGGAGACGCGCTTTAACCACTGCGCCAAACTTCCGTTTCTTTGTTGTAGGTGGGGTTTGATTTATCGGTATATGTTTGTCGTGTTGGCTGTTTAGGGTGCCTGCACTGTAACTTGGGTATGTACATTGCTGGTCCGTTTGCAGCAGGGCCTACCTACCTTACATATATGTGCTTACGTAGTCCGCCTGGCCCATGTTCAATGGCGTTTATTGAAGAATGTATAGATCGGTTTCTATTGGCTAGACTATGTCATTGAGCCTGATATATCATCGGGACTGATATGTCAAGTAGGATTATATACTTGATAGGCTACTGAATAGTGGTCACTGGGGGAGTAGGTAATACCTGCTCGTAAGTAAAGTGGGAGGGCGAATGTCTGACTGATGAGTAGGTGTATATAAACAAAAAGCGTGAGACTTACAATCTGGTAGAGGAAAGGAGCAAAGGTATATACTGGATATCTTCAGCCCATGGAAGAATCCAGGCCAAGTATTATCAAGAATTAAAATCTACATACATAATTTTACCTAAATCTCACTCCGAAGGGGGCGGCACCTTCATCGCAAAGTCTACCCAGGTACCTTATCACTCACCCCGTCAAACCACAGACTCATCTCACCCACCAACCCATCCATCACCCCCTCATCAACAGCCCTCTCCTGCCAAGTAAACGTAACGATGACACCCTCAGCGAGCCCCTCGACCCCGGAAACATTAACCCCAATCGCCGCACCAACGGGGAGTGCGCCCTGCGTGAAAATGGCACGATCAATATACCAACCCATGTCACCAAGCCTCCCCCTATCATTGAAACCTATACTCCCCAAATTCGACACCTCCCACGTGATTTCCCTTTTCTTCTTACCAATCTTCCCCCGGAAGAAATCATGCCAATCGCCAACAAGCGAAGCTAAACCCCAGACGTCGTCTCTCGGCAGCGTCCCCGCTCTCCTCCGCAGTCTCTTCGTCATATCTGCTGCAAAAGCCCACACCTCTCGAGGTTCATCGTGACGATGGACACACGTAAGCGCCGTTACGAGACAATGGATATTCTCGCCAGGGGTGAAATTTCCCGTTTCGGCTTTTTCGGCATCTACATAGTTGACAAGCGAGATGGGTGTTGAAGAAACGAAATCCCGTCCTGGAAGTTGACGGGCGAGGGATTGTGCGACGAGGGCGTGGATGAGACCTGTTAAACTGGCGTTGTGCCGACGACAGAGTTCTAGTATCTCCTTGATACTCGACTTGCGATCGATACGGATCAAGCGGATATTTGTCCGGGGATCCGAGGCGTCGGTTGGGTTGCCCGTCCACGGCGCATTGCTGCCGCGTCCTCCCGGAAGAGCCGGTTTGACGAGTTCCGTCCAGACTGTGCGCAGCTTAAATCCCCATGATAGCGTGAATGGGATCAAGGTCTCCATGGGCGGGGGGATGGCTGGCGGGGTGGATAAATGTAAGATATGGTCTTGAAGGAGTTCCGAGGTGTTGGTTGCGTTCATGGCCCGGCGCAGATCCCGGTGGAAGATGTATCCGCTGCGACCGTCGGCATAGGCGTGGTGGAAGCAGAAGGATATATCGAGGGAGATCGTCGGATCTTCAAGAGTGGGGTCCAAGTTTAGGATTGTTTCATCATATAATGCGGCTGGGTCGTAATGAATTACAATTTTCCACCCCGGCTTTCCAGCGAGATCTTCCCAGAGGGGCTCGTGAAGTTTCTCCAAAGAGCGGACAAGGTTGTTGTCGTCTCTTGATCTTGGGAGTTCCTTCCACTCGATCATGCGGCGCATGTCGATCTTTTCGATATGGACAAAGGTTGGCTCCTTGGTGTCTTCACCTGCGATCCCGACGCCTAGGATTGGTTGTGCGAGGATCACGGTTGCTAGGGCATTTTCCATGAGCGACTCCAACTGCTCCCGGGTGTAAGGACGCGACATGTATCGACATGTTACGATTACTGAGCGGATCAGGCCTAGACTGTGTCGAGCTGTGTTGAATTTGGCTCTGTTATTTGTCTGGAAGTCAGCAGATATTTGATTGTATGAGTACCTAGGTGAGGCTTTTCCGGGCTCCCTTGTGAGTAAATAGAATTATATAACATGTCAAACTTACAATGAGCCTACGGGTCGAATGACTTTCTGTTGAGTTGACGCCATATTCATTCAACCAAGATAAGCTAACCTAGATAAATGCCCAGTGTATCAACTATGATTTTCTTTACTATTTACTTTTGACACGATCCATAGTCAAAGTTCCTCTGTGTTGTCGTTTCAAGGCTAATCAATTATTAGCCGGACCTCTGGCGGCGATTGTTTGTTTGTTATGTAGATGCACCGGCAAATGGCTGCCTGGCCTGGCAATAATCGTGTGAATTCATTTCGCGTTTGCGGCGTAAAGTAGCTGGCCCTTCATGCTTGTGTTTTGTAATGATGGGTACTTACCTAATTGGACATGTAGAAGGAATGGAGGGATACGGTGCACTAACTGTAAAAGACACTCTAATATAGCCTAATCCGTTCCTTCCCTCCCAGGCTCCCACACTTGACCCCTGAACCGACCAGCCACAGGTACACCGTGTGTGATAAGCTGCGCAGCCCCCCTGCCTGTCAGCCCCACCATTATTTTTAGACTTGAGAAAAGAAGAGGTCGGTCGGTATCATAATTTGAACAGCATCAAGCATTTCGGAGAATAAAACTTCAAGAATGACCTTGAATGAGAATAGCAAATAAGGCAACCAACCAACAAAAAGGAATATTCCATTTCGGCGCCAAACTCCAGCTGTATACATTCCAAAACTTGTGTTTCGCGTAAACCAACAATCATAATTAACAGGCTTCTCTCCCCCTTTTTCTTTTGTTTCTTCAGAGGCGGTGACCCCCAAAAATGCACGTCTGACATCTGACATCATAAGAAATGGGTAATGGGTGATGGAAATGTCGATCTTAATGTGGCACCTGCATACCAGGCTGAGACTGATAACCATTCACAATCGGTCTCGCGTTCTGCGTCCTCTGCTTGACCTCGTTATCTTGTTGGATGAGGGCGCAGCACGAGCACCAGAAGGAGACGCAGCAGTCGTTGCATCCGCTACCTTTGATGTTGTATTTCTCGCGGATCTCACCACGTTTGATCATGGCGTAACTATTATTCTTGTCAGTCCGGGGTATCGTGGAAGATAGGTAAGGCAAGAGTAAAAGGAAAACTTACATCCATCCACAACCAGTAAAGCAGGTAAGACCACCGTGAATCATACAATCAGAGTTGAGCATGTCGGCACTCTCCATAGACGGATCGCGCATGCGTTCTGTTGTCTGGCCTAGGAGGATACAGGGTATACACCAGGCTAGTAGACATGAGCCGCAAGGGCTGCAACTGCAGAGACTGGCTTGCCATTCGCTTTCCTTTTCACCACCCTCGCTGTAGACATGGGCGTGGGCGGGAGCGGGGGCATGGGCATGAGCTTGTGTAGGTGGGTGATGCATGTGGTGCTGCTGCTGCTGCTGGTCTGGTGTTACACCATATTGTTGTTGTGGGTGTTGTTGTTGTTGTTGGCCGTACTGTTGTTGTGGTACTGGGCTTCCATACTGAGGTGGATTCTCGTAGTAAACCTTGTCCTGTGCCGACATTTTGATTTTTTACAAGGTCGTCACTTTGTTCTATGTATAACGAGGATGAGTTATAGGCTTCGATAGTACTAGGACTCGAAACAGCAAATAAGCAGAGGAATGTGAATAGTTTCAAGGCAAACCGTAAAACAATGATGAAAGAAAAGGAAGGAATAACAACATGTAGGCAGACAAGCTTACATATTATACTTTCCTCCTCCTGTACCCAGCTGGCAGGACAAGACTCCATCACCCAAATCTAATCTAAGCCTTGCTCGTTTCTCTCGTACATCTTTCCTTTGGATCTTGTTGTCCACCGCCACGATACTGGAATCCGATCCTACCTATCAGGTAAAAAGGTCCCCCTTCCCGGACTCCACAAGTTGGGTGTCGGTCATCGTGTCGGGCGGGAAATGAAAGGTATACTTGTTTTTAGCACAACCCAAGTCGGTAGTAGTTTGATAGCTCGGGTACTAATATGGCCTAGAACCGCCTGGGCGACAACGATTGATGCCTGTCAGCTGAAGGATTGACCTCATCCTTTCAATTTTAGGTAATTCTAGGACATGG